GACTACACAGGATGACCCAACCTCCAACCCATCCCATTCGCGGGGACCCGGATAATATGAAACCCGCATACCCCCATATAAGGCCATGGCTTGGAGCGTCACCATTCGGTACCGTGGAATTCCGCCGTGGGGGTTGCAAGGTCATCCCTGAAAAATAGTTCCTAAGACCACGAATAAAGATAGCATTCCCCGCTCAATAAGAAGATAAATTATGTTCGGTTACGATGGCTTTACCAATTACAGGTTGGGTGACCCTTCCAATGGGCGTCTATATATATCCAAAGACGTCATTTTCCAGGAGGATCTTCACCTTATGGATCCGTCGGCCCCAGCCACTGGGCACCCGAAGACCCTACCCACGGCGGCCCGTCAGGCGGCTGCAGCGATTCCTTCGCCGATTCCTTCGCCGACTCCTGGCCCGATTCCTTCAGTTAATGACCTATTCATCGATGAAGAAGTCCAACCCCTCCGTCCGCTATTCCTAGTTCCCACCAATAATTGGTGGATAGACTATGAAATATCAGCGAGAATACCGACCTTTTTGGTGCAGAATACACCGATTTCCCCTAGCCCTCCTATTGAGATTGAGGATACCCCGACAATTACAGGGAATAACGATTCAGTGGGGGAATCTTCAGTGGGGGACGGTTCCGATGATCTGCCTTCCGATCCCGAGATATATGGGTTGCCGATTCCGAAGAATCTCACGCGCGCTAAGGCTTCCCCTGAGTGGAAGTTCTACTATAAGGCCTGCGTTAAAGAGGTTAATCGCTTAAAGCAAATTGGGGCCTGGCGATTAATTGAAAGAACCCCTAATATGGCGGTCCTTCGGGGCCAATGGGTGTTCGACAAAAAGTTCAATAATATGGGCAAAGTAGTCCGCTATAAGGCCCGCTGGGTGGTCTGCGGCAATTATCAACAAAAGGGTGTCAACTATTCGAAGACCTTTGCACCCGTCGTTTCCGCCTCCACGTCCCGAGCTCTCATGGAAATCTCGGCATCCCGAGGGTGGCACGTTCTGCAAATCGATATGGTAACCGCGTTCTTGAACGCCCAACTGCCGGCCGACGAACGGATATATATGAGCCAGCCTACGGGCTTCCGTGAAGGTCGTGGCGATCTTGTTTGCGAATTAATGCAGGGACTCTACGGTCTTAAGCAAGCAGCGCTTTTATGGTATGAGGAACTGCGAAAAATGCTATTGCAGTCAGGCTTCCGTGTCAGTCCTTACGATGCTGGACTGTTCATTCATGACGCGAGAAAGGTCTATATGACTGTATACGTGGATGACGTACGCCTATACGGCCCGAAGATCGAAGATCTCAACTGGGCCAAGGCCGCAATCGCCGCTAATTACGAAATCAAGGATGTGGGCGATTCGAACCGATATTTGGGCATGAAGATTGAGCGGGATTCGACCTCCCTTACGTTGTCCCAACCCCTATTTATTACGAATCTTCTGGAGGAATTCGCTATGGATGACTGCCACCCTACGTCTACTCCCATAGAGGAGAACGTTGATTTCATGAATGACAATGAGGAACCGGTCGCTTATACGGCGGAATTTACCCTACGCTCCTATCAGTCAGGCATTGGATCCCTGCAATACCTTGCGACCAATACACGTCCTGACGTTAGCTTTGCAGCAGGCTTTCTAGGCCGATTCAGCGCCCGCCCTACCTCGAAGAATTGGGCCGCTTTCAAACGTACGCTCCGCTACTTGCAGGGCACGATTAATGCGGCTATTTTAACCTACTACAAAGACGCCGATATCGAACCCGTGGCGTACGCCGATGCCGATTGGGCCGGTAGGGATCCGGGATCCCGCTCAACTACCGGCTACATCATATATATGGCGGGGGGCCCCGTCGCCTGGCGAGGCTGCCGGCAGACAGGGGTCTCCAAATCATCAACCGAGGCCGAATATATCGCATCCTCCGAAGCCGCATATGAGCTCGTCTGCCTACAGGAGCTCCTAGAAGATGCCGGTTTCGTGCCGTCCCGCCTCAATAATCTGGATGCCGACGATCACCCCAACCCACCTCCGGCGAATGGCCTTGCTTATACGATTCATGCCGATAACAAGTCTGCCATCGAGCTATCCTCTTCCGAAGCGATTCCGCGCCGATCGAAGCATATAGAGGTCCGATTCCATATCCTTCGGGATCTCGTCCGCAAGAATGAGATATCGATCCGGTACGTCCCATCCGCCGAGAACGCGGCAGACGGGTTAACCAAGCCGCTCGGAATGTTGAAATATACACGTTGGAAGGAGATTATTAAGATGAAGGGATAGGGGGGTAAAAATTGATGGATTTGATGGCTGGTTTTTTTTTTTTAACTACTTCGTTTTTCCAGTTGTCTTTGTACCTGTACTTGATTTGAAGGCAAATTTTGTATGTAGCATTGTGTATAGTTACTATGGTGAGTGGGGGTGTCAGGTCAACTGCCCTGGCTTAGTAATCCTTCCACCATATAACTTGCCACGAAGCTAGCAATCCTTCAATCAAGCAAGCTTTACACCTTCCACATTCTTCATTACATACATCTAAGGTACTTGTGGTACAAAGCCTAGTAGAAGATTCGATGCAAACCAGGTAAACAATTCAAATGTGTACCTGGAAGTTCTGGCTTCGCTTAG